TGGCTGTGGCAGGGTCTGTGGGTGCGAGCGGGCGGCTGCCCCTTGCGTGGCCAGAGGGCCCGGCTGTCTAAATGGCATTTGCTGACAGCTGCATAAATCCAAGTGTGGTGAAGTCATGCACGGGGGTAACGAGAGCAAATGCTAGTGCAGCGCACTTCCCCGCTCAACGTGCGGGAGCCCCCAGGCAGCAAGCAGTGAGCGCCGGCTGGCTTCCCAAGCCCATCCTGGTGGAGGCATCCTTGGGGCAGCAGCAGCAAGACAGCTTTTAGGGCACTTGTCCGCTGACACCACTCCTGTTCCCACGTTACACTTTTCCACGTTACAGTTGACTCCCGTGGAGAGAGCGTGGGAATGAACGTGAGACACGATTGCAGAGTCGTGCAAGTAGCTGTGGTTGAAGCGAGCCTTTCACGTGCAGGCTCCCAGAGTTTCCCAAATGTGTTTCCAAAGCTTTTCATGAACCGTTGGCTGGGTATGGCAGCAATGTTTGGCGCAGGAGCAGCATTTTGACAGGCCTGACCATTTCTCCCAGGTTTGCAATGGGCAGCTCAGGTTTAGACAGAGTTAATCTTTGCTTATGAGATCACTTTTTCACAACCAAGTCACGGCTGCCCTGCTCTGGGCTTGTAGCGTCACCATACTAACTCTGAAGATAAATACCATCGCTAACATACAGTGGTATGAAGGGGCCAGCTTCATCCTTGGATTACCTTTCTTGGCTCGAGCTCTTTTCCACTCTTCATTTTCTTCTTCTGCTGCTTTGTTTAGCTTTGAGGGCCAAATGATGCTCCCATTTGCCCTAAATTTGGGGGATCTCCATACATGGAAGAAGGGCAGCTATTGTAAGTGGTGCTGAGGATAGAATTTAGTCTTGGAATTGTATTATTTACCTGTGCATTATACAGAGATGTGCTAACTATGGGAGATGCTGTTCAAATTAAGGTTATAAATATCTTTTCTTTGGTTTGTAAATCTTCATCTAAACTGCTTGATTTGAACAGTGTCATCAAACCACAATTAGTATGTACTGTTGCCCCAGATCTATTCGACAGTCATTCTGCTGTAGTCAGTGGTCTTGGCTTCCTTGGGTCTAATTCAGCCCTCATGCAAACTGATACAGGTCCATTGAATTTATTAGCATAACACCTACTTTTACTAAAGTGGAATTAGGTCGAAGATGAATGGTGCCATATTCCTTCTCATTTAGTTCTGAATCTAATAGCATATCCTTTGCCTGGGGCCTGTTGTGGGTGGCAGTAGCATTAGCTATGGCTAGCTACCAGCCCCATTGTTCTCGGCGTTATACAAATGTATCATAAGAAGCAGTCGCTGCCATTTCCCAGTCTAAACAGAGTAGGCAGTTTGTAAAAGGTTTGGAAACCTCTTCACTACTGATGGCTATATATTAGGAATCTGTGCTTGACTTGCGTACCGTTTCTACTGCCCTCCTCCTACTATTTGTTTCTGGTGTACAACTGTCCATCTCAGATCATACCTGATAATAAAGCACGCTGTGGTAGCACACGAAACTCAGACGGAAGAGACAACAGAAGGCCATCATGGAGGTTGTCGCAGGATCCTGCCTTAATATCCAACTTCTGAAGCTCCTGCTTGGGTTGTTTCTCCACTAGTACATCCCATCCCATATACTGCAGATCAGTTCTGCTGAGCCTGGGTCCTGTGCCTGCCAACTCAGTTCTGCAAATCAGTGGTATCTGTTTTAATCTGCTGCTACTTGGAAGTTTTGGATGTGTCCTGGAAAATTTCCCTGCAACTTTGTATGCCTGTCCAAGCCTGCTGGCAGAACCTAGGGTGGATGAGTAACTCTCAGCAATGGCAAGTGCTTTATTCAAACACTCTCTTATGCCTAGTGTCAGAACAAGGGGCAAAATAACCATTGTTACAGAGGGGCTTTCAAGAGCTCCCTTCAGGATATCAGTGCCTCAAGGTTGCCAATTTAAAAAATGCATTTGTATTGTATGAGAGAGGATTTTGGGGAAGCTTTCCCATTTACTAATTGCATGTGTTCTCATGAAAGTAATGTTAAATATATGGCATTTGAATTATGAATACTAACAGCGAACTTTACCACTATCCCAGAGTTTGATTTTGTTTGTGAATGACAGCAAAATGGCTCAGAGAAATTTCAGAACATGATCTATCCATTATGCTTATTGAGAATCCCCTTGCAACAGCAGGATATAGTCCATTGATGGGGAACATCTAATGTTACAGTTAGTGTAAAATATGTTATATTTGTATGAAAGGAAAAGGCAATATTATTATGAGAAAATATTAGTATTATTCCCAAAACTAAACATGGATCCTAACGGGAACTCTCTCTCCTAAGCTATGGTTACCTATTTCCCTTCTGGATATTGGCCGTTTGGATAAAATGTCACTCAGACCTAAACCAGCCCTGGATTTAGTCCCCAGCCTAGCCTCTTCGTCCCATTCATTCTAAAAGCTGATCGTGAGCAGGCATGCTACCAAAGATTTTTTTTTTAATTAGATTTTATGTTTTCAACAGGGAGGACATTTCCAAAGAAGGGTCAGACATGCGTGGTACACTACACAGGTAAGCATGTTCTGTATGTTCTGTCCAAACTGTTTTGCATTTTAGGAGTCACTGGTCATTTCAAATTGGATTTTTTTTTTTTCTTCCCCTGCCCCTCTTTAGCCCTTTGTTTCATTGTTGATACTTTTCTGATGAATCTTCTGGAGGAGTGGCTCCCTACAAGCAGTTCGAACTGCAATACCTATGGGCACTTCCTATTAAGTTTTCTAAATGTAGTGTTTAAGATTGTACAGCTCACTCTACTACAACAGGCAGTGAAGTCAAATGCAAAATGTGTAGCACAGTGAATAATCAAGGCATGTATCTCTCCAGCCTCAGACCCTGACATTATTAATGATCTGTTTGATAGTCTTTCTTTTGATTTTGCATGTTGTGAAACCGGCTATCCTGTGTATTTCTGTGGTAGTTACAGGACCAAGCAATGTCCACATAAATCCCCCAGATAGTGGGAAGTTAATCAGTCTCTTTTAGAAATTCTTAGGATTGGATCCTAAGATGGAGTAAATCAATAGAGCTCCATTGACTTCAGTGGAACTAGACAAGTTTACTCTGGTTTAGCACCTGAGGCTTTATTTAAACAGAACTAATGATAATGTCTGTCGCTCTCTCTTTTTCTTTCCCCTTCATATTTCCTGGTTTCCACGTTACCAAATATACTTTGTATTCTTTAGTTCTGACAAAAGGGTCGCAGTGTTGAGGGCTATGGTTGCCATTGTGGTGACTTGAAAATGTTCCCAAAAGCCATCAGATCCTTTTAATGCTTTTTTAACAAAAATCTGCTGCATCATGGGCAGAGGATCAGTAGTTTATTTGAATATGCTTGATTTATCATGTTGCAAAAGACAAATAATTTCCATTTAACACAGCACAGATTTCCATGGAACGTGACTGTGTAGCTCTGCCGCAAAGAGAGCAGTTTTCTGTGTATTTTCCCTGGGCTAAAATCAACCTGCCCCTAAAAAGATGCTGCCATAATAATGGTCAATAATCTATAGATATTTGGCTATATTCTCAAAGAGACATATTCATCCAAAGGATCTCTCTTGAATGCTCTGTACTTGCACCAGTCCCACTAGTTGAGAATCTGGCCTTTATGCCTTGACATTTCCATGGCTGGATGTACGTTCATTCAAGTTAGAAGTATTTTGTACCAACATAAAGACAAAAAGTATTGTATTAATCCCATCTTACCCTCAGCGGTACGTACAAACACTCATTGGCTTCTGTTTGAGATGTACATGTGTATCAGGGAAAGGGTGGGGGTAGAATTAGGCCCTAGGCAAGGAATTTAATCAAAATTCTTTGTCTTAAGAACCCGTGGAGATGGTATTGGAATAGGACAGTGAAAATTGCAATTAAAGGTAGCATTAATAAGAAATGGTATCAGAGCAGACATTATAATTAAGTTCTAAATTATAGCAAGCCAAAACTTGCCTAACTGTAAAGAACTTAAATGTTTTACAAAGCCTGTTTCCAAGATATCTTGTACTTTAGGTGTAATGTCTGTTCATGTAGCAGTTATTGCCAATTTTTCTGTGTTTCTTTAGTAAAAGTCACCATGTCTTTAAATTGCCATAACTTGGAATGATGAAAATCTTTTATTTCTGTAATGATCTTAGGGGTAGCTGAGACCCTATGACAGCGTATCTTGAGTCTTTTCTGTTTACTTCAGTGAATCATAATTGCAAAAAGTGGCTTGATTCATCAGTATGGAACATGGACTTACGACATCCTTGAGGCATAATTTGCAAACACAATTCTCTGATAAAGCCAACACAATTTTCACTCCTGTACATTTGCAATAGATCATTGATACTCATTTCCTACATTAACAGAATGATCAATTATATATTATTGTTGCCATCTTACTAATTGTCCTTGGACAAGTGTCTCATTTCCTGCTTTTGAAATTTAAGAGAAATGGGGATAGTGCCTTAAACCTAAATAGTGTTTTCCAAAGTGCTTTGAGATTTTCAGATAAAAGGGGCTATTAAAGAAAAAAAATATAGCTGATCAAAAATGTGCATAGATTTATAAAAAAAATGTGGTGGCTTTAACAATTAAGGCTAGGTATAGCCATTACATGTATTGTGCAGTAAGCACACAGAAAGTGCACTACAGCCATAGCTGAACAGATGTTCATGGCACATAGAGTGCTTTGAAAATGGTGGATCCTGCTTTAAGTTAACCCTGAATGGATGTGCTGTGAGACGAAAGCGCTTTAGTTTAGAGTGCTTTATTACACATCTGTACTAGATCCCGTCGCAAGCCAAGGTGGGTCTTATTCTGCTGGCATCCCAGGGGCCCATTGCTGAGCAGCTTGCTAGCCTTAGTTGGTGCTTGCCAACTCCAGGAGAGCACCGGCTCAGCCCCTGCCCTGGTCTGTCGCAGAGAGGAGACAAAAAAAGCTCTGTCTCCTCCCTGTGCGGCCAGGCAGGCAGGGAGAGGGGTAGGAAATGGAGCCTCCCTGCTGTGCAGGGCTCCCCCTTGCTTGCCGGCTTGGGTCTTGGGGGGTGTTGGGCTGGGCCTGTGCGGCAGGGGGGCTCCATTCACCCCTTTCCCCCACCATCTATGCCAGCCTCCTAACAGCTGCAGCTCAGAACCCTGCGCAGCTTTTTGCTGTGCCGGAAACTGGTGGCGGGCAAGCGGGGTAGGGAATGGAGCACCCCTGTTGCATGGACCAACCTTAGATTCATAGATTTCATAGACATTCGGGCTGGAAGGGACCTCGGAAGATCATCGAGTCCAGCCACCTGCCCTGGGGGCAGGAAGTCAGTTGGGGTCATAGGATTCCAGCAAGATAGACATCCAAATATCTCTTGAAGGCATTCAAAGTAGGTGCTTGAACCACCTCCGGTGGCAGTCTATTCCAAACCTTGGGGGCTCAGACCTTGCCCCCACCCCCAAGACCTGAGCCCGCAAGCTGGGGGACGGCAACATGGAAGGGGGCTGTATTCCATGGTCCCACCCCCAGTTCCCAGCGCAGCGAAAAGCTGGGCCAGGCAGCCCCAAGCCGCAGCTCCTGCATGCAGTTGTCAGGAGACTCAGGTTGGGGGGTGAGGGAGTGGAGCCTGCCTGCTGCGTGGGCTCCCCCTAGCTTTCTGGCTCGGTCTTTGGGGGAGGGGGGGACAGGCGAGGTCCACATGGCAGTGGGGCTCCATTCCCCCATCTCCCTCAACCCCAGTTCCTGATGCAGCAAAAAGCCATATGTGACTCTGAGCTGTAGCTATCAGTAGCCCCGGGCATAGCAGGGAACAGAGCCCCCCTGCCATGTGGGCCTGGCCTGAACCCCCGCCAAGACCTGAGCCAGCAAGTTGGGGGAGGCTGCATGGTGTGTGGGGGGGAAGGGGGCTCAGTTCCCCCTCCCTCTCTCTCCCAGCCACTGCTGACAGCTGGTTGGGGAGAGGGGCTGGGGAGAGGGGCCATGCGGAAGCCACTTCAGTACCCCTCCCTCCCCACAACAAGAGCAAACATGAGTTGTGTTCGCTCCGCACTCATCTAGGGTGCTTTGAGTAAAGCACAATACCTGAGCACTTCCGCCTCAGGCTTTTTGAAGGTCTGTACTTAACCCAAGTTAATAAATTTAAGTCTCAGATCATCTCTAAGTACAGAAGAGTCTGCATCATAAAATCTGTCCTCAATTGCCCATTTCTTCCACAGTTACATTTAGCAGTACTTATCGTGGTGTGGTCCTGCTAGTTTCAGTGACACTGTGGCATTAGATACTACTTCACAGGAAAGAAGATAACACAATGGGACCCAGCTGAACACTATTTAGTAACCTTGTTGGCAATCTCTGGTCATTTTATCCCCTTCAAAAAGCCCACTTGAGCAGTGCGAACTTAGAACTGCTGCCCATTGTACAGACAAGTAGAAGATAACATTTTCTTGACTGGCCTGCAAGCCCAGCACATAAGAAAAATAAAGGAGTGTGTTATTTATATAGATTTAAGAGGATTAAAAAGATATTTCTTCAAGATGGCATTAAACAGAACTTCACTTGCAAAGTGACTTCTGTGTCACTGTAAAACACCCGAGGTGATTTCAGGGCACCCACTGAACTCAACAGGGAGTTCCTTTCCTCACAGACTGGCAGCATGGTGGATTTTCAGTTCTTTCCCAGTGTGTTAGCAAATAATTAAATCTCTACTCTTTAGCCAACAAAGAAATCAGTTGATTTTGTCATGCAGATTTACAAAAGAGCTTACATAAGGTACCAAAAGAGGCTGCTGTTCTTTAAGCTTTTAGAGCACAACACTCATCTGAGGCAATTCATCCCTGCAGATTATTAGACTGCTTTTCTGTGTGTAAGAATTGTTGGCTCCCATTTGAACACGTTTGCTGTGACCACAAATATGTGCCGCTGCATATTTACAGCTCATATAAATTTAATGAGGAGGAACTGAGAGCTTTGTAATAATTGATGCTAATTAGAATTTCAGATTTGGATCTTCACAAGAATGAAATAGATTTGTAACAGACCTACAAGGAAAGATTTTCAAAACTACTCAAATAGCTCTTGAAATAAGCAGCAAAAAGAGCAGCACTTGGAACTTCATAGTCATAGAGAGCTAGCGCTGCAAGGGACCTCCAGAGGTCATCCAGTCCAACCCCCTGCTTGTGGCAGGATCATCCCTATCCAAACCATCCTATACAATCCATACTCTAAACTCCATATAAAACTATCCTCAACCCTGACACAGCACAGACCTAACACCATAACCTGCCTGCCACACGTAAAGCAGGAGAACCATGGCAGCCAATGTCCTGCTTCTTTGACCTGTTGTCAATATGTGCTCAAGCGATCCCAGGTAGAGGGCCATGTCCCCTGCTACAGAGGAAAGCAATACCCCCTCCCACCCTACCCCCTCAGGTCATACCAATCTGACCATGGGGTAAAATTCCTTTCTGACTCCAAATATGGCGATCAGTTTGACCCTGTGCAGAGGTCCAAGACCTTCTAGTCAGGAACCTCTGGCACTGGTCCCGGCAGGAGAATT